TTTGAATCAAATAAGATTCATTAATTTTGATTGGAGCTATTGATCCAAACATAAAATTTGGGTCCATTTTGATCTTGATTATATGCCAACTTATTAATATAGGCATCATTTTGGACATCTTTTCTATAACTTTGTTTTTCAGACCGCAATCACAATTACCATTTGGATGCTATTTATTCATTGTTTTGAAGAAATTTACATGTCAAGAATATACATTTTATAGCAACTTTAAAAAAAGTTATTTTATCTATAACAACTATATAACCACTTTTATAAAAAATTGCAATCGTCCCAAACAGACACCTAATAAACATAATAGGTCCATCTATCGATTCAAATAAAACAACAAGAAGAAGAATAACGTCAAGCCTTTATAGGGTCTACTACATGAATATTTTTTTTTTCCATTATGTTATATTAAGGGGCTGTTTGGTACGCGGATTTAGCCGGATTTAGGGCAGGATTTGGGCAAAATCCAGCCAAATGGCCTAAAATGCAAATCAAAATCTCACGGTATTTGGAAGCCGCGGGTGACGGAAAAAGAGCCGTTTTTGCGGTAAATCCCGGATTTCGCAAATCCGCATATTCGGCGGATTTAACTTGTTATTCGCGGGAGAGGTAGCGGATTTATCTGGCTATTCACGGGAGAGGAAGAAGATAGAGGAAAGCCCGAACCATTCCAGCTGTTTTCTTATCTCTTCACTCGCTCATCTTCACAAAACAGCTCGCGCACATGCTCGCCCATACGCCCTCGTCTCCTCCTCTCGCTATTATAAGCCCACTGTTCACTTCCTTTAATTTGCACATCCAGCAGTAGAGCAGTCGCCTGTAGAAGAAACGAGCGGAGTGAGTCGGGCCAATCGGCAGCAGGTATGATTCATTTATCTCCTATCAAGTTTTTTGTTAGTATATCCACTGTTTAGGCTAATATATGTCCGAAATTTTCCTTATTTGAATGTTGTCTATTCTTTCGCCGTTTCATGATTATCGACAGTTGTTCGAACAGGCCTATATTGTTTGTGTTGTGATATTTCATTTGCTAGAGTGGTTTGATAGTATGACATTATGTTAGTAACATGACACCTGAAGAAGATGTGGATAGTAGTGGAACATACCCAGAAACAAATTGTAAACAATCATCTTTACTTCATGATCATATTAGTTTTGCACTGGATAAATCGAGTTGGTTGACAACGAATGAAAACGAATCCTCAAACATGAATTACCTAGCTTCCACTCGGAACAAAAACTGTAAAATTCACTTCTCAAATGGTAATCATGCTCATTAGAAATAGTTATTAAACAATATCTATGGATACTATTAAAATGTATTATTTGAAATTTGTACAGCAAAAATGAAACATTTTTTGAAAGGGAAAGCGGCTCAACGTTCATCTGCCAATACTCAAGCAGACATTATGGATTATTTAGATGTGAAGTTGGGGAATAGTAATAAAAATATTTTGAGGACACCTAGATGGTCAGATCAGCATAATGAAGTCTTCAGAGAGTTGTTGTTCGAGCAGTATTTGTGTGGTAATATTATTGATGGCATATTGCGTAAGGACAAGTGGAAGGATTTGGTCGGTATACTAAATCGTCGAGTTGAAAAAAACTACACTAAAAATAGTGCACAGATTAGGTTCAAAAATATGAAAGCTGATTTTCGTGTTGTTTTCCAACTAGCAAATCGAAGTGGCTGGGGTTGGGATGAAAATCTTCATTTTCCAATAGCCAGTGATGACATATGGGATGAGATAATACATGTATATTTTACTATTTTTTCACTAGGATAATCCAAAGCTGGCGAAGTACCGTCGTAATCCATTCCACCAATAGGAAATTTTTGAGAAAATATGTGGAGATAATATTGCTGTGGGAACACTAGCAAGGTCATCCCAAAAAACAAATAAATCAATAGAGGAAGTTGTGACAGGAGGAGACGTGGAGGAGGATGTTTTCTTGTCCAGTAACGAAATAAGTTTTGTACCAACAGATTTAGAAAGCAACCAAATTCCTGAGAGGGAAAACACAGAAGAACCCCAAACTATTCCAATGAGTTATAGCAAGCGTTCAAGTGATGATGATATTCAATAGTAGACGCCCCCGGAGAAGAGCTGAAAATTTCCTACGTGGAGTTCTTCCTGACGAGCTATGCGAGCTAATAGTTGACCACGTACAGTTGAGCAATGAAATACGCAATATAGCACCAACTCTTTTAAGTGATAGTAGCTCGTCCGAAGAAGAGACCAACATACCAAGACCTATGTTTACGAGATGTTACGCAGGCGAACAATATGTAGTTGACCTTCTTTATGGTCATCCGTTACGTGCTTACAACTCTTTCAGACTTTCAGCATACGCTTTTCATCAACTAAGGGAATTGCTAGAGAGTCGTTCACTACTTATACCAAAAACATTTTAGTTCAGGAGCAACTTGCAATTTTTCTGCGTGGTATAGCACATGCACATAGTTATAGACAGTTGTGCGAGTTCTTTCAGCATTCTCTTGAAACAGTTATTCAGTATTTTAATTTGGTCCTACGTGCCATAGTTTCTTTAGCCAATGAATTCATAACGATGCCAACTGTGGAAGCAGAATGCCACCCTTATGTACGTTTGAATCAAAATTTTTTTCCATTCTTCGAGAATGCTGTTGGAGCTATTGATGGGACTCACATTCCATCGGTTGTAAACAAAAACTTGCAAAATCGGTATCGTAATAGAAAGGGGTTCACTTCTCAGAATGTCATTGCTGCAGTGTCATTTGATAGGCAATTCGTCTATGTGGGTTCCGGTTGGGAAGGATCAGCTGCTGATATGAGAGTTCTACGATGGGCAATCGAGGAGGGTGATTTTAAAGTTCCAGCTGGTAAATATTTTCTGGTAGATTCTGGGTACGCAAATACAGATAAACTAATTGCACCATTCAGAGGGTATCGGTATCACTTGGCTGAATACCGTACAGATGCTTCTCGGAGGTACTCTGTTGCACAGGAGCTATATAATCACCGTCATGCCCAACTACGAAATGTAGTTGAGAGGACTTTCGGCATATGGAAAGAAAGGTTCCAAGTTCTGACTCACATGCGTCAATTTCCACTTGCGGTTCAGGCTGATATTGTTCTAGCATGTGCAGTCTTGCATAACTTTATCGGACGTTATCACGGGCATGATATTTACTTCAACATGTCACAAACTGAAATGCAGCATAACAGTGACTTGGGGGAGGTTCAAGCTATTGATGAAGACCCGAATTTGTATGCAGGTGTTGGAGAAAGAGTACTGGGTGATGATTTGAGACATTTAATTGCAACAAATATGTGGGAAGCCAGAGTAAGTCTCTCTGGTATTAAGCTTATATTCTTTATAATATTCATAATTTAAACTTCTGACAAACTACTCCATTTATAGGTAGCAAGCCAGCGAAATCGTTCAGCAGGATAACCTGCAATGTTGAAAACTTTGAAGATGGAATCAACTTTATTTTATTTGCAATTTGTTTTATGTTATTGTTGTATTTCAAATGAAACTTTGTTGTATTTTATTTGAACTTGGATTGTTCTACTTTAATTAATGAAGAAATGAATGTTAAATCTTTTAACCGCCTTAAATCCTGAATTGAACAGCCAAACAGTCACACAAGATTTAACTGGATTTATCATGAATGTTACCAAACAGTTTTCAGGATTTCGTAAATCCGGGATTAGGAGGATTTACGAAATCCTACTTAAATGAAATCCTACATTCTACCAAACAGCCCCTAAGAGTCAAGCTCTTATTTAAATCTATTAAAGAAACATCATTTCTAATACTTTCTAATCAAATATTTTTATGTCTACCTCAACCTCTTTTAACATAGGTCAAATTTAATATATTTACTTTCCTAATTTGAGTCATCGAAAGACCAATGTTTTATATGACCAAACCATCTAAGACAACTCTCTTTAATCTTATATGCCTATGAAGCTACTCTAACCTTTTCACGTATCTGCTAGTTTCACATTCTATCTCTAAAAATAAATTACTCATCCACCTGAATATCCTCATCTTTGCAACACTTACTTAATTTTATGTTTTTCTTTTTAATGACAAATATTATGATCCATAAAACATTACAAATCTCATCATCATCTAATAGAGTTTTACTTTAAATTT